GAAGGTCCGGTAACCATGGCAATCACCCAAAGACTCAGGTGAAAAACTGAAGACTTCCTAACCATGCCCATCACTAGGTGTATTTCTATAAGATGCAGGTTGTGGCTTTTTCTTAGAATACGCCCCCCATTATCATCATCCCCCTCCCCAGCGGAGCTCCCCATCCAATGTTCTACCCATCAGAGGGCTTGCAGGAAGATGAGGATGTGTGGAGGTGACATGATCCCCCCCATCCAGTCCACACACAGAGTGCTGGGACCCCCTTCTCTCATAATAAGAAGACATTATTACCTCCTCCTCACTGGACACACACTCTCCAGACTCACACCCCCTCCCTAGCAGATGGATTGTAGCAATAACAGAGCTCCTCCTCTATTTCATAGGACTACAACAAAATGGCTACTGTGCACCTAAAACAAGACCATAACTACAAGTTTTACTACTTCTTTGCTGCACTTAGTAACACATGACTGTAAATGGTATCTATCCAATGTAACGCTGTTGTTTCTTAATACTATATTTTGGGTGGGTTTTAAATAGTAGCATGTGCTCTACAACAAAATGGCCGCCATCCCTGCTGCACCGAGAACACTTCCTCCCCTCACAAGGCAGACGGGCGCCCTCTAGTGCTGGCTCTACACTGGATTGAAGGCTCTCTGTCACTGGCCACTGGCCAGTCAGCTCGCTTGGCGTCACTATGGCAACCAGGAAGCGGCCAAGCCGCCGTGAAACGCACAGAGCGGAAGTAGAGGAGCCACAGTGCGGAAGTGGGGTGAGGAATACATTAGAGTAGGGGGTTTTCCATTTATCCAGCTGGAACTGTTGTCACAATAAAAATTATCATCAGTCCTGTATACCTATGATCGTTAGAATTATTATATTGACATATAAAAGCAGCCAATCAAATTGCAGCTGGCATTGATTAAAGGTTAGTCAGCAATTGAAATCAAATGTCTGGTTGCTACAAACAACACCCCAAACTCCTTCCATACCCAAGCCTGTTGCTATAACCATCCCTATAATGGTCCTTTCACACGGGGCGTTCCGAACTTTCTTCAGTCACGTTTTTTTTATCCATTTACATTGGTTTACATCCTTTTTTCATCTGTTTACATCTGTTTTTCATCCGTTGGCATTGGTTTACATCCGTTTTTTCATCCATTTACATCCATTTTCATTGGCTTACATCTGTTTTTTCATCAGTTTTACATCCATTTTTCATCTGTTTACATCCGTTTTTTTTCATCCGTTTGCATTGGTTTACATCCGTTTTTACCAGTTTACATCCGTTTTTCATCCATATTTTAATCTTTTTCATCCGTTAACATTGGTTTACATCCATTTTTTCATATTTTTCATCTGTTTAAATCTGTTTTTTCATCTGTGTTCATCCGTTTATATTGGTTTAACGGATGTAAAAACAGATGAAAAAAGAGATGTAAACGGATAAAAAAGGATGTAAACGGATGAAAAAAGAGATGTAAACAGATTAAAAAAAGCGATGAAAAAAATGGATGTAAAAACGGATGTAAACGGATGAAAAAATGGATGTAAACGGCCGAAAAAACAAAAAAAAAAAAGGATGCAAATAGATGAAAAAAAGGATGTAAACGGATGAAAAAATGGATGTAAAAACGGATGAAAAAAAACATGAAAAAAATCGGATGTAAACAGATGTAAAAACGGAGTATTAGCAGAGTGTTCAGCAGGTAATAGTCCTGGTATCCTTGGGGTGATGCAGAGTGCTCAGCGGGTAATGATCCTGCAATCCCAGTCTTAGCAGAGTGGCTGCAGGGGTCACGCCTCAGTGCAGACCTCCCAGCAGCTTGCAGCGGACAGAACAACCAGGAGAGCCCTGCATCTGCCTTCTTAAGGCTTTGCAGGACACTCCCGGTTGCCCTGGCAACATCGAGCGGTGTGCCGCGTTGCCCGGGCATCGAGGCACGCCCCCTAGACACGGGCCACGCTCTCGAGAGCACGGCCTTTGTCTCCGGCGGGTGCAGGTGCGGAAAGCCTCGTGCCCACACTGCACCCGCCGGGGGGGAGCGTGGCTTCAAGCCTGCGGGCCTGTCCCGGAACCTCCCCACGGGAGGTCACCCCTCTCCGGGCCCTATGCCCAGGAGCGGTGTGAATTTCACCGCAGGGGGTCATCTTTGAAGGGGACCGTGGCAGGGGTGAAAAGTAACACTTCTCATCCTGTGTGGCCCGGCTTCAAAGGGCCGCTACAGGATGAGAAGGGGGGGTGTGAAGGGACACAGGACACAGGCACTAGAAAAGGGGTGGGGGGAAGCTCCCTGGCAGGCACACCGTGACAGGATGTAAAAGATGAAAAAAACAGATGTAAACGGATGAAAAAAAGATGAAAAATGGATGTAAATGGACAAAAAAAACTAAAAAAAAAACGGATGTACGCGAATAAAAAAATGGATGTAAAAGATGAAAAAACGGATGTAAAGGATAAAAAACGGATGTAAAGGGATGAAAAAAACGGATCTAAAGGATGAAAAAATGGATGTAAATGGATGAAAAATAGGATGAAAAAATGGATGTAAAAATGGATGTAAACGGAAGAAAAAAAAGGATGCAAACGGATGTAAACAGATGTAAAAATGGATGAAAAAAGGATGTAAACGGATGAAAAAAGGATGTAAACAGATGAAAAAAACGGATGAAAAAAACTGATGTAAAAACGGATGAAAAAAAAACAGATCTGAACGGATGAAAATACGGATGTAAACTCATCTTTTTCTTTGAAAAACATGAGTGAATGGAAGAAACAATCTGCATGGCGGTGTGGAAGGACCCGAACACACAATGGTCTTAGAATGGCACCCAATACACGGACACGGTAGTTGCCAATGCAGGGCAGATGCCAAGTGGTGCAAGGTCCATTTTTGGTGCATTGGGGCGCGTTGATAGAACATGGAATATGAATGATCTGTCTTGGCACAATGTGCCCCAACACACTATAACATGTAACACAGGACACACAGAACATTGTACAACAACATGACCCTCAGGTACTGTACGGATCACAGAGCTTTGTATGATGATCATTTCAGCAGAGATCCCTCGTGGGTGTGTCTTGTGTCTCGTGGGTGTGTCTTGTGGTTGTGACATCTGTAGCAGCCATGACCATGTTTTGAATCAGCTATCCAAGCTGTAAGGAATCATTACATGTGGGGTTTCCGTCCACGTTTAGTCTTTTTTTTTAACCCACGTGACCCATCCATGTGACAACTTCCACATCCTAGCACAGAAGCCTCCTGCTTCACCTGGGAGACTGAGATGTGACTTTGCTGAGTCAGTTGTTTGACTATCACAGATGGCCTGAAAAAAGGCAATTCTTGGAGCTCCACTTTGACCGGTTCCCGAAGGACGGCGACAGCGCGGTTCTGTAATCCTGGGACAATGTCCATGGACGTGATTCCAGAACAATCCCCCCTGCGCCGTCGGTGATCGCTGTGTCCTACGGACACAGCTGATCACGTCATACGGTAAACAGCCAATCACGGCGGCCTTTTACCACGTGATCAGCTGTGTCCAATCAGCAGATCACCAGGAAAATACAGTTGCCGTTTATCGGCTGCACTTTCCTCAGTGTGAGGTAAGTACTGCTGAGAACCGGCAATTGTCAGCGAAAGGAGAGGCACTGATTATCAGTGCCACCCACCTGTGCCCTGCAGTGCCACCCATCAGTGCCTCTTATCAGTGCCTCTTATCAGTGCCCTTCAGTGCTATTAGTGCAGCCTCATCAACGCACATCAGTGATGGAGAAAAATTACCTGAACCAGCAATTGTCAGCGAAGGGATCGGCACTGATGTTCAGTGCCACCCACCTGTGCCCCTCAGTGCCAACCACCTATGCCCTGCAGTGCCACCCACCTGTGCTCTGCAGTGCCGCCCATCAGTGCAGCATCATCAGTGCCACCTATGAGTGCAGCATCATTAGTGCCGTCTATCAATGCCACCTATCAGTGCCTCCTATAAGTGCCCATCAGTGCTGCCTGCCTATCCAAGCCACCTCATCAGTGCTGCCTATCCATGCCACCTCACCAGTGCCCATCAGTGCTGTCTATCCGTGCCACCTCATCAGTGCTGCCTATCTGTGCCTCCTCATCAGGGCCACCTCATCAGTGTCCATCAGTGCTGCCTATCCATGCCACCTCATTCGTGCCCATCAGTGCTGCCTATCCGTGCCACCTCATCAGTGCCCATCAATGCTGCCTATCCGTGCCACCTCATCAGTACCCATCAGTGCTGCCTATCCGTGCCTCCTCATCAGTGCTGCCTATCTGTGCCTCATCAGTGCTGCCTATCCATGTCACCTCATCAGTGCTGCCTATCTGTGCCACCTCATCAGTGCCCATCAGTGCTGCCTATCCGTGCCACCTCATCAGTGCCCATCAGTGCTGCCTATTCGTGCCACCTCATCAGTGCCCATCAGTGATGCCTATCTGTGCCTCCTCATCAGTGCCTATCAGTGCAGCCTCATCAAGAAGGAGAAAAATTACCTGTTTGCAAAATTTTATAATAGAAACGAAGAAAAACTTTTTTTTAAAATTTTTTTGCTCTTTTTTTGTTTATAGTGCAAAAAATAAAACACCCAGCGGCAAGTAAATACCACTAAAAGAAAACTCTATTTGTGTGAAAAAAATTATAAAAATGTCATATGGGTACAGTGTTGCATGACGGCGCAATTGTCACTCAAAGTGCGACAGCGCTGAAAGCTGAAAATTGTCCTGGGCAGGAAGGGGGTAGAAGCGCCCGGTAGGCAAGGGGTTAAGCACCAGTGGTTAGGAATAGGACTGCACATTTTGCCCTGTGTGAGTTCTCAGGTGGAGAAGAAGAGGGTCGATCTCAGAGAAAAATTGTCCACATTCTGAGCATGCGAAGCGCTTCTCCACCCTGTGGCTGGACTGGTGTATCGTAAGTTGGTCTCTGGAAGGGAAACATTTTCCGCACTCTGCACATGAATAAGGCTTTATTCTTGCATGGACCTTTTCATGTGACACCAGGTTTGATCTCAGAGTGAACCTTTTCCCACACTGCGCGCAGGAATGTGGCTTCTCCCCGGTGTGAATCCTTACATGCCCGATCAGTAGAGATTTCTGGGCAAACCCTCTCCCGCACTCCATACATGAATATGGCTTTTCTCCCGTGTGGCTCCTCTCATGTAACGTAAGATGGTATTTCTTGGAGAAACGTCTTCCGCATTCCAAGCACGAGAACGGCTTCTCCCCCGTGTGAATCTTTCTATGCGCATAAAAAGTTGATTTCTGGCTAAAGCTTTTCCCGCAGTCCAAACACGAAAACGGCTTCATCCCTGTGTGAATTCTCTGGTGTTCAATGAGAGTGCCTCTCCGGGTAAAACATCTCCCGCATTCCGAACATGAAAAGGACTTCATAGCTGTGTGAGTTCTCTGGTGTCCAATGAGTTCCTGTTTCCGAGGGAAACACTTCCCACATTCTGAACAGGAGTATGGCTTCTCCCTTTCGCGACCTCGCTCGTGTGAAGGAAGGTCCTCCCTCTGGGTAAAAGAATCACCAGAACATGGGAATGTTTCATTCCTACTATGAGATGTAGGATAAGCAACAGGAGGTGAGTGATTGGAGAAACGTCTGCTGTGTGTAGAGGGATCAGATGATAGGCCTACTGCTGGATGGAGATTTAGGGCAACGGGGTTTTCTCTTAAAGAACCAGATGTGTCACCTTTATCTTCAGTTCCACAATCTACAAGAAAACAGAATTAAGGACAGGTTATCATTTCAGTTTAGGTTTGCTTCAATGCATGAGCCTAATATAAAACCATCAAGGCACTACTCATGCTTGCATGAGTTAAAAATAGGCACCTCATCAGGTTCTAAGCCTTGTGGGAGACCTAAGCATTCTGAGCAATCAATACGTAAATATTAATGTCAAGTTTGGATGTCAGAGCTCTGCCCAACCTTACTTGGGGTCTACAAGGGGAATGAAGAACATAAAAGAAGGCATGAATATGGTTTTAAATCACTATGTCATCCTGAGTAGTGTATACCACCAACAGTCTTGTTTGAAACCTAGCCCAGAAACCCTAGTCCAGAGGCTCGGACTTGGAGACTTGGGGTCTTCAAGGGCATAGAAGAACATAAAAAAGGTGTGACTGTGGTTTTAAGTCACTATGTCATCCTGAGTAGTGTATACCACCAACAGTCTTGTTTGAAACCTAGCCCAGAAACCCTAGACCAAAGGCTTGGACTTGGAGACTTGGGGTCTCCAAGGGCATCGAAGAACATAAAGAAGGTGTAAATGTGGTTTTCAGCCACTATGTCATTCTAAATAGTGTATACCATCAACAGTCCTGCTTGAAACCTAGCCCATGAGCCTAAATGCCCTAGTCTAGAAGCCCTAGACTTGGAGACTTGGGGTCTCCAAGGGGACAGAAGAACATAAAAAAGGTGTGACGGTGGTTTTCAGTCACTATGTAATTATGAACAGTGTATGCCATCAACAGTCTTGCTTGAAACCAAGCCCATGAGCCTAGAGGCCCTAGTCTAGAAGTGCAAGACTTGGGGTCTCCAAGGGCATAGAAGAACATAAAAGAAGGTGTGAATGTGGTTTTCAGTCATAATGTCATTCTGAAAAGTAAATACCATCAACAGTCCTGCTTGAAACCTAGCCCATGAACCTAGAAGCCCTAGCCTTGGAGACTTGGGTTCTCCAATAACATCAAAGAACATAAAAGAAGGTGGAAATGTGGTTTTAAGTCACTATGTCATCCTGAACAGTGTATGCCATCAACAGTCTTGCTTGAAACCTAGACCATGAGCCCAGAAGCCCTAGACTTGGGTTCTCCAAGGGCATCAAAGTACATAAAAGAAGGTGTAAATGTGTTTTTAAGTCACTATGTCATCCTGAACAGTGTATGCCATCAGCAGTCTTGCTTGAAACCTAGACCATGAGCCCAGAAGCCCTAGACTTGGGTTCTCCAAGGGCATCAAAGAACATAAAAAGAAGGTGTGAATGTGGTTTTTAAACACTATGGCATCCTGTATACCAACAGTCTTGCTTGAAACCTAGCCCAGGAGCCCAGAATCCCTAGACCTGGGGTCTCCAAGGGCATCGAAGAACCTAAAAAGTGAGAATGTGGTTTTAAGTCACTATGGCATCTCGAATAGTGTATAACCATCAACAGTCTTGAGCCCAGAAGCCTTGACTTGGAGATTGGGTTCTTTCCAAGGGCATCAAAGAACATAAAAGATGGTGTGAATGTGGTTTCCAGTCACTATGTCATTCTGAATAGTGATTGACTGACCACCAAGTGTCTACCATATTGGTTTTCTCTCTGGACCATAAAATTGCGAGATTGTTCTTTGCCTACAGCAACAATTCATTTTGAGGGAGAAATGTGTCAGGGAGCGAGAAGCCAGACACACAAGGAGGTGCAATTAAAGGTAGGTTTATTAATATAACAATAAGACAAGAGTCTATGCAAGTCCAACAGCGGAAATTGTAGCCAAAGCCGGGGTCAAGAGCCAGGAAGAATCGTCGCCAGAGCCGGGATCAGGAGCCAGGAACAATGGTCGCCAGAGCTGGGATCAGGAGCCAGGAACAATGGTCGCCAGAGCCGGGATCAGGAGCCAGGAACAATGGTCGCCAGAGCCGGGATCAGGAGCCAGGAACAATGGTCGCCAGAGCCGAGGTCAGAAGCCAGGAGGAGTCTTAGCCAAAACCGAGTCGGAATCCAGGAAAGCAATGAGTAGCTAAACAGGAGCTTGCTGTTGTGCAACAGACAGGACACGAATGCAATGGACAGCCACAAACAGCAGACTTATATGTGATAAGCCGCCACCTCCTTGGGGAGGAGCCGCAGAGGGCTGAAAGCATAAAGGATCCCAAAATGCTTTGCAGACACCTAAGATGGATGCCAGCACATGGAGCAGCACAAGGTCTGAGGAAAGGTAGGACCTTGACAGTACCTCCTCCTCAAGGACCCCTCCCCCTCCACCGCTCAACATAAGGCTTCTGTGGAAAGTGGGTGTGAAAAGCGCGGAGGAGGGCAGGAGCATGAACATCCGCGGAAGGAACCCAGGAACGCTCCTCGGGACCATAAACCACGCCAATGGACCAGGAACTGCACCCGACCGCGGACCAACCGAGAGTCCAGGATGCGGCTCACCTCATACTCCTCATGACCGTCAACACGGACAGCACGAGGCCGAGAGGCAGTAAAGCGATTACAGACCAGAGGCTTCAACAGGGATACGTGGAAGACATTGGAGATACGCATCCCAGGAGGAAGAGCAAGGGCATAGGCAACCGGGTTCACCCTGCGGAGGATGCGGAAAGGACCAACAAAACGGGGAGCCGGTTTTGGTGCGGGCACCCGAAGATTGAGGTTACGAGTGGACAACCACATCCGATCTCCAACCTGGTATGAAGGAGCGGGCAACCGTCTACGATCAGCCTGGAGCTTCTGGCGCTGAGCTGAGTCCTTCAAGGACCTCTGGATCTGCCCCCACGAGGAACACAGGGCAGCAAGATGGTTATCCACAGCCGGAATGTCCTGTGGCGTGAACAACTCAGGCAATACAGCGGGTTGGAACCCATAGTTGGCCATGGAGACATCCCGGAGGAGGAGTTGACAGCCGAGTTCCTCGCAAACTCTGCCCATGGCAGGAGATCGACCCAATTGTCTTGATGGTCAGAGATATAGCAGCGAAGGAATTGTTCCAGGGCCTGGTTGAAACGCTCTGCAGCCCCATTGGACTGCGGGTGGTAGGCCGAAGAGGAGAGCTTGATACCCAACTGGGAGCAGAAGGCGCGCCAGAACCTGGACACAAACTGGCTCCCACGGTCCTGAGACAATCACCTTAGTTCTTGCGCAGTCGGCAATTTCTTGAATGGAACACAATGGCACACCTTGGAGAAACGATCAATGACCATAAGAATGACCGTATGGCCTAGAGACGCAGGGAGGTCTACAATAAAATCCATGCCCAGGTGTGACCAGGGACGCTCCCCATTGGGAATGGGTTGCAGAAGGCCCAATGGAAGATGCCGAGGAGATTTATTCTGGGCACAGACAGAACATGCCGCTACATATGAGGCGATGTCGGAACGGAGAGATGGCCACCAGAATAAACGAGAAACGACCCAGGACAACTGGTTCCTCCCTGGATGACCGGCGGTCTTGGAACTATGGTAGGTACGCAGCAAGTGGATGCGCAATCCCTCAGGTACGAAACATCTACCAGCCGGTCTCTCAGAGGGAGCATTAGTTTGAGCCGCCAAAATCTGCTCCCCAAGGGGAGAAGTCAGGCTGGTACCAATGGCATCCAGGATCTGATCCGGAGGTATGACCGAGGTCGGCTTAGAGTCCTCCCTGGACAGCTCAGAGTATTGCCGCCACAAGGCATCAGCCCTGACATTCTTGGAGCCAGGCAAATAGGAGACCACATAGTTAAAACGCGACAAGAACAGAGCCCATCTGGCCTGACGGGGCGTCAACCTCTTAGCCTCTGAGAGATACGTCAGGTTCTTGTGGTCAGTGAGAATGAGAACCGGAACCGCAGAACCCTCGAGCAGGTGCCTCCATTCCTTGAGGACCTGAATAATGGCCAACAACTCCCTGTCTCCAATCTGGTAGTTGCATTCTGCGGAGGAAAGCTTCCTGGAGTAGAACCCACAGAGAAGTAGGGGTCCATCGGGCGACCGATGCTGAGACAGGAGGGCGCCTACTCCCGTCTCAGATGCATCAACCTCGAGGACAAAAGGAATTGGGTAAGCATTCTTAATCGTGATTTGATTGAGACCCCTAAAATCAATGCAAGGCCTCAATTCACCGCCCTTCTTTTTCACGAAGAAAAAGCCAGCTCCTGTTGGAGAAGTAGACTTGCGAATGTGCCCCCGGGAAAGCGCATCTGCAACGTACTCCTCCATGGCCTGATTTTCCACAACCGAAAGAGGATACACTCTGCCATGCGGAGGAGTGGCACCGGGTTGTAAGGTTATGGCACAATCGTATGGACGATGAGGAGGCAGAGCACCGGTGCGCACCTTGTCAAACACCTCCAGGTACTCCCTATAGTCAGTAGGCAACACAGAGTCCGAGGAGGCACACAACACCTTAACAGGTCCACGGATGCAACTGCCCCCCACACTGTGGAGACCACGAGAGAATGTCGGCCGACCGCCAATCAAAGGTCAGATTGTGCTTCTGAAGCCAGGGATATCCCAAAACCACGGAGTAGTGCAGGGGAAGAAATTACCTGGAAACAGGCCAACTCCCTGTGAACAACCCCAATAGCTACTTCCACCGGCAGGGTCTCGTGGGTAACTTGCGACGATTGCAGGGGCCTGCCATCTATCGCCTCGAGAACCAATGGAGTAACTCAAGCCTGCAGAGGAATGGAGTACTGGGCAGCAAATGAACTGTCCATAAACAACCCGCCAGCACCAGAGTCTACCAATGCCTGGGCCGTCACCGAGCCTTCCGCCCAAGAGAGGACAACGGTGATTAGCGGTTTATTTTTGCGGGAAACTGGGGACGAGGAAATTCCACCCAAGATCTGCCCCCGACAGGATCTCAGGTGCGAGCATTTCCCGGACGGACCGGACTGGCGAAAATGCCCACCGAGACCACATTACAGGCAGCGACCCTCCTGACGCCGAGAGGCCCGCTCCCCCTCGGAAAGACAAGTAAACCCCAGCTGCATGAGCTCACCA